CCCAGCAAGAACGTGAGAAGATTTTCTTGAAATTTGAGCGCGGTGAATTGTTGGGCATTCAAGCTACCACGAGCAGAGAAGTGGGCTGGTGGTTTCTGCCCCGCACCACATGTGCGGAGGTGATTCCACCTCGAGAGGCTGCACCAGTGGTGCGGACTGTCAAACACATATGACATAGTCTGTGTAGGCTGTAGTGGGGTAGACTATATGGGGTACAACACTGCTAGGTTTTCCTACTTGTACCCATCTCCTTGCTAGTTCAACATTCCTTGTTCTATCATTCTCACATGGTTTCAGAGCAGGTTCCCTAGTGGGACCGGTTTTTTTTTAGGGCCCACCACAAACTTTTTTTTTCTGCCCTGCCCGAATCGCATTGTCGTGCCTGCCTGCCCTGTCACGTGCCTTGCGCCTGACTACCCGCGCCCTCGAGCGCCTGCCTACCCGCGCCCTCGAGCGCCTGCCCTGCCCGAAGCGCGCATCGCACTTGCCTTGCCTGCGCCGTCGCGCTGCCGCCCTTAGTGGCCCTGCCCGTCGCGGCCCTGTTTCAGACGCCGTTCGCGGCCCTGCCCTGTCGCCGCCGTTCGCGGCCCACCCTAGCCGTCGTCGCGGCCCTGCCCTGCCGCCTTTTGTCACGGCCCTGCTCTTTGCCGCGCGTCGCGGCCCTGCTCTCCGCCGCTCGTAGCGGCCCTGCCCTGCCGCAGCTAGTCGCGGCCCTGCTCTCCGCCGCCCTGGCGCGGCCCTAACGCGGGCCTGATGCGGCCCTACCTACCGCCTCGTAGCGGCCCTGCCCTGCCGCCACGTCGCGGCCTTGCCCTTCCAGTCGCGGCCCTGCCCTACTCCCGCCCCTGGTAAGCGCCCGCCCTGCCAAGCGCGCCACTGCACACCTGAGCTCGCTTACCGCACACCTGAGCTCGCTTCCGGCACGCTTGAGCTCGTTTTCCGCACACCTGGGTTCGCTTTCGGCACGCCTGAGCTCGCTTACCACACACCTGAGTTCGCTTTCGGCACGCCTGAGCTCGCTTACCGCACACCTGTGTTCGCTTTCGGCACACCTGAGCTCGCTTACCGCACACCTGAGCTCGCTTCCGGCACGCTTGAGCTCGTTTACCGCACACCTGGGTTCGCTTCCAGCACGCTTGAGCTCGTTTACCGCACACCTGGATTCGCTTTCGGCACGTCCGAGCTCGCTTACCACACACCTGAGTTCGCTTCCGGCACGCTTAAGCTCGTTTACCGCTACTACTGCCGCTACTACTGTTACTGCTGTTACTGCTGCTACTGCTGCTACTGCTGCTCCTGGCGTGGCCAGATGCAGCTCCAGGGCCGTCCGCGTGAGTCCCTCACGCCCCAGCAGCTTCGTGAGTGGTACGCTAGTTGGGGTTGTCAGGGTGGCCGTAGTGGGAGTCGCCCTGGAGTGGGTAGTTTGGGAGCTTCTGGTCGTGGCCAGGTGCAGCTGCAGCGTCGTCCGCGCGAGGCTCTTTCGCCCCAGCAGCTTCGTGAGTGGTACGCTCAGAGTAGAGGGTCACTGAGTACTGCTCGCTGCCCGTACGTCATTCGCACGGGTGTCCGGACTGGTCAGCCTTGCGGGACGGTTAGTCACACAGAGTCACGCTGCTTCGCCCGTCTGAGCGACGCTTGGCGTACAGAGTTTGGCGACGACGCTGAGCTCCCCGACTGGGTGGAGCTGCTTAGGCGAAGGGTAGATATCTTTACTCTTGACTATGATACTATCCTCACTGCCATGTATGCATTGTCTACTAGTGCTGAGGGTGCCTGTCACCTGTGTGTGCAGCCTGACCCCGGTATCCAGTCTGCTGCTCTAGGTGCTGGTGAGTCTGCTGCTCTAGGTGCTGGTGCGTCTCCTGCTCCAGGTGCCGGTGAGGCTGCTGCTCTAGGTGCTCGTGCATCTCCTGCTCCAGGTGTTGGTGAGGCTGCTGCTCCTGGTGCTGGTGAGTCTGCTCTCTCTGGTGTTGCGCCTGCTGCGGTCTTGCACGCCTTCACCCTTGACTCGGGTGCTTCCCGCTCCTTCTTTCGAGACCGCCCCACACTCACGCCGCTTAGTCGGCCGGTTGCAGTCTCCCTGGCAGACCCCTCTGGAGGTCCTGTCCTTGCCCACTACTCCACTGTCCTACCGTGTCCGGCGGCCCCGTCTGGCTCCCTGTCAGGTCTTTACCTCCCCTCGTTCTCCACGAACTTGGTGAGTGGTGCTGACCTGCAGGATGGGGGGGTTGACCAGTTCACTCCTGCGAGTCATCGAGTGACCCACTGCACGTGTGCTCGGACGGGCCGACACTTGGCCACGTTTACCCGTCAGCCGGGGTCGAGCCTCTACACACTGACTACCGAGTCTCCTCCGGTTACTGTGTCTGGTCAGGTGTTTGCTGCGGCGTCCAGGCCTAGTCCTGAATCTGCCCCCTACTCGTGTCGTCTCCTGTCTCACCAGACTCTCCTCTGGCACCACCGCCTTGGTCACCCCTCCCTGCCTCGTCTTCGAGGCATGGCCTCCCGTGTCCTTGTCTCTGGTCTCCCCCGGTCCCTCCCTCCCCTTCCGCCGGGGCCTGCCCCTACCTGCGTTCCCTGCGTCGAGGGGCGGCAGCGCGCCGCTCCTCACTCCTCCGAGTTTCCTCCGACAGAGGCTCCACTGCAGACTCTCCACATGGACGTGTGGGGCCCAGCCCGCGTCCGTGGACAGGGTCACGAGCGTTACTTCCTGCTGGTGGTTGACGACTACTCGCGTTACACCACAGTCTTCCCCTTGCGCTACAAGGGTGAGGTCACTGAGGTGTTGATGGACTGGATCCGCGCTGCCCGTCTCCAGCTCAGAGAGAGGTTCGACTCGGACTTACTTGTTCTGCGTCTGCACTCCGACAGAGGTGGAGAGTTTTCCTCCAACCTTCTGCGAGCCTACTGTCGTGCGGGGGGCATCCGCCAGACGTTCACGCTTCCGGCCTCTCCGCAGCAAAATGGGATTGCTGAGCGCCGCATTGGCATGGTCATGGAGGCTGGACTATGAGAGGAGAGGAGATGGGAGGCAACGGCTGAAGCTGCAGACACACGGGCAACAGGAGCGGCTGGCACAGTGGCTACCGAGAGCAAGACAGGCTCCGGACTGCAGGAGTAACTGGCTCCGCGGCTACGACGAGTGGCAGGAACAACGGACCCACGGGCGACAGGCACAGCAGGCTCGCTGGGTTACCGAGAGCAAGACAGGCTCCGGACTACTGGCGTTGCAGGCGACACGACGGCAACCTCCACGCAACCTCCCCCAACTGTCTCACCCCCCCTTTTACACACACCCCCTGCTGCACCCCTAGCTCCACTCCCCCGTCACCCCCTAGCGCCACTCCCCTCGGCTCCCACACCTCCACCCCCCTCAGCGGCAGCTGTAGCAGTGGGAGACGAAGAAGGAGGAGGAGGAGGAAGAGACGACGCACACGGAGCACCCCCACACCCGCCACCCCCATACCCGTCACCCCCATACCCTGAGTGTGCGGTAAGCGAGCTCAGGTGTGCGCGAATCGTGCACAAGTGTGCGGGAAGAGAAATCAGGTGTGCGGGGAGGGGGGCCGCAGGGCGACGCGTGGGTCGACGGGGACGGGCGCACATGTCCCCGGGGGCGGCGCGAAGGGCGACGGGGAGCCGCGCGCGGGTCGACAGGGCCGCCGCGAAGGGCGACGGGGAGCCGCGCGCGGGTCGACGGGGCCGCCGCGAAGGGCGACGGGGAGCCGCGCGCGGGTCGACGGAGCCACCGCGAAGGGCGACGGGGAGCCGCGCGCAGGTCGACGGGGACGGGCGCGCGGGTCGACGGAACGCGAAACCGCCGCGCGCGCCCAGGGTGCGCGGCGGGCAGGAAACCGCCACGCGACCCTAGCGCATGGCGGGCAGAAAACCGCCGTGCGAAGCAGAAAACCGCCGCACGCCCCAAATATACGGCGGGATGAAAAACGCCGCGCGCTCTGAGCGCGCAGCAGGAAGAAAGGGTCGCGCGCCCGGGGCGCGCGACAGCAGTAGAGCAGCGGAAGCATCGGGTGGGGCCCACCCACAGGATCGACCCAGGAGGGTCGACCTGCTCTGATAGCATGTCAGAACTAGCAGTCAAAATTAAGAATGAAGAAAGGAGAAGGGTTTGCACTAGCAGCAGTTGGCATACATATAGGAAACCCTAGTTGGGTTGTACTCGCTATAGAGTACCCCACTGCAGGCTAGACAATAATAACATTCTGACACGGACCATTTGCCTGGCGAGGAAATGGCGTGGAACAAAAGGGCAGCTATGGTAGAGTTTCACAAAAGTGCTGTTCTGCAGGTTTTCTCGGTTTTCTTGATGCGCCCAGCTTAGAGTTGAGCAGGTGCCCCGCTCGGGTCGGGCTGACCCGACCCGACCCGAGATTTTCCCCAGGTCGGGTCAAGGATTTCGGAACCTTGCCCGACCCGACCCGACTCGGCCAGAGACCCGACCCGAGAGCCCATTTCGGGCCGGGCCGGGCCGGGTCTTGGGTCGGGCTTGACTCGACTCGATTTCGGGTCAAAATTGTCGAAATCGGGTCGGGCCTGGAGCGCGACCCGATTTCGACAGTGTTAGGGCCGAAACCCTAAGACAAATGTAAATCGCGGGGATTTCTTCCCCGTCGATTTACATTTCGCCAGACAAGCCGCTAGTCGACTTAGGGTAGTACTTAGCTGTCCTTAACCTACCACAGAACTTAGTTAACGCTACAAATAGTTACTACTTTAATTTACTCGTCAACATGGACGATTCTAGTGAAGTATAGTCCATTTCGCCCTCATCACTAGAGCAGTTTAGGGACCACCATGAAACAACTGCAACCTCTAGTTTCCTTCTACCCCGCTGCATCCGTGACACACGCGCTGTACTAGACGCTTTTAGCGGACCGCAGCACGATTTCAAAGACGTTCGCGTGGGCCGCTTTCACTGTTACAGAGAGTCCGCTATCACACCTCTAGGCTCGTTCGTGCGGGCGCGGTTTGGGGCGGTAAACATGTCAGGCGTTGACGGTGATCCTTCCAGCTCCACGAGGATTCCGGGGTTATCTCTTGCGGCCGTCGGAGTCACATCATTTGGTGGGGAGGGTTTTCAGTTGGGTCAGCTCTCCCCAGGTGCTGACACTGTGGCCCATGCAGAGGGCGTTGCAGCGCGGCTGGCTTCGGAGGAGCAGCGATGGCAGAAGGCAATGGACGATCTGCGTGCTTCTGGGCAACAATCTCCTGAAGAACGGCGAGACCCGACTTGGTTGCCGGGTAATGAGAATGCTGGCGCTGCGAGTGACGGTGAAAGCGGTGGCGAGGAGGATGAGGGGGGCCGTGTGGGACCGAAGAGAGCTCGTGTGGGTGGAGGTGCCGTTCCTATAGCCGTGCCTGCTCCTGCTGCTGGAGTGCCTGCTGTTGCCACTACTCCTGCTGCCCACACTGCTGCTGCATCTCCTGCAGCTGCTGGGCGTCCGCCCCCTACTACTGGTGCTGCTGCACGTCCTCGCGCTGCTACTGCCGGCCGCCCTCGCGCTAATGCTGCTGCTGCCGCACACAGTGCTGGACCGCGCCGCATTGGTATCTCCTGGGCTTCTATCAATGCAATGCGGGAGGCCAAACAGTTTCCGACCGCAAAGGACCTGGATCCTGTCGTGGAGAGCGCTCTGAAAAGGCATGAGTCCGGCTTGGTGAAAGGGATGTTCGGGGCGCTGAACAACGATGCCCGCCGATGCCTTACGTGCAACACCATCATTAGCTGGCGTTTGGGTAACACGACGTCGAGGGGCAGGCATTTGAAGAGGGTGCACTATCCTGGCCTTCAGATTTGGGTCCGTCGCTTTCTGGACCCAAACAAGGAGGATGGGCTGGTTTTCCCGGATGGGGGTTGGGGACCTACAATACCGGATTATACGAAGTGGCCGTGGGAGCACGCTGACACATGGCCTGACGTTCCGGCAGCAGAGACGGGAGCCGGGCCGAGTGGGGTGATCGGAGGAGCCGCCGTTGGGGGGGGGAGGCAGGGTACCATCGATCAGTATGTCACGACTCGGGTTGGAGAGCGGCAGCTGCGCGAGGGCCTGATCATGCTGTTCGCCGGCCTTGACATGTCGTTCCGTTCTGTCGACAGGCCAGCGGTAAGCACTGCGCGCATGTTCTTTGAACTTGCGCACGATCGAGTATACGTTGACATGCTGTGCTCAATATCCTACCACCACTATCTTCTTCCACTCCCAAACATGTTTGTGTCCCTCATGACAGTTTTGTGACTTCGTGACCTTGCTTAACCCCGACGCGGCACAGCATCTCGGTACCCGTTTCCGCCTTGCGCGGGACCTGCTGTCTGCAGCCGAGACGGCTAAGGCTGAGCTGCGACAGCTACTGACAGGCGACGGTCTAGCGGGGCGGGTGACACTCACCACGGACATATGGACCAGTGAGAACAACGTCGCCTTCATGGTAGTGACTGCTCACCGAGTCACCTCGGACTTCCAGCTGCAGCAGATGGTGATCGACTTCCGGCCGCTGGAGGGCCGTCATACGGGGGATAAGATTGCGTCCGAGCTGGAGGAGGTCATAGGGGAGTGGGCGTTGGGTGGTGGTGAGTTCTTCGGCTTGACGACGGACAACGCCGAGAACAACAACAGGGCGATTCGTCTGCTGGCCGGCGTCCCTGACGACACACCGGGGTCACGTCCGCGTGTCCCCCCCTTGATGTCCCTGGCTCGGCACTTCAAGTAAGTGCCATCCGCTCTTGCTACAAGTGTCCATGAGCATATCGGGTGGGTAATGACAAGTACCCACCTGACCTCAAACCCTGGTTGACCATACCCATTCCTCACTGTCAATGCTTGCCCTACAGGTGCGTGGCCCACGTCCTAAACCTCGCAGTGCAGTATGCTACTAAGGTCGAGCCGGTGGCCGAGGCGCTCCGGAGGCTGCGTGCTGTGGCTAGCTACATCGGGTGGTCGGTGCAGCGGTCGGAGCGTTTTTTTGACATTCAGAAGCGGTATGCTGCGACCCTTGCGGAGACGCAGGCAGGGGATGGGGCGGAAGAGGGGGGGGAGAGGCAGGCAGAGGGGGGCACTGTAGAGAGGGGGGGGACGCAGGCAGAGGGGGGCAGCAGTGCGCGCAAGAGACCTACTGACTTGCGCCTGATCGTTGACTCGGACACGCGCTGGGGTTCCACGCTGGAGATGGTGGTGAGGGGGTGTGAGCTGTCCATTCCTCTGACCATGTACTTCGATGAGTCATCTGTGGTAAGTATGGGATTACTATCACGTCACCATGTATTGTCCGCATGTCAAGTCCACTTCATTTGTACTGGCATCCATGCCATGTGGGTTGCCAAGTCCTCCCAACCCCATCCCGTCACCACGTACTTCCCCAATGTCACCTCCACTTCATCTCCATACCACTTTGGGGTGTATGTTCTTATATCGAATGGTTGGGGCATCCATGCCATGTGGGCTGTCAAGTCTTCCCAACCCCATCCCGTCAACATGTACTTCCCCAATGCCACCTCCACTCCAACCAAATCACTCTCCATCCCTTCCTTCGCTCACCCTCTCAGCCAAACATCACGAAGACCACCCGCACGGCATGGGCTGAGATCATGCTGTCCGACGCCCACTGGACAGCTCTCAACGAACTGCGGGCTTTCCTGGAGCCGTTTGATCGCATCACCCTGTTCGTGGAGGGGTCGTTGTACCCCACCATGGGATCGGTCGTGCCGCAGTACAACATGCTCCTGGACATCCTTGAGGCGAACAGAGATTCGCCTGACGTCTCGCAGCTGTGCATGGACCTCTCAAAACGGGCTTTGAGCAAGCTTGAGCGCCACATGGGTAGGGTGAGCGAGGAGTGTGCGATTACCACCTTCCTCGATCCTCGGCTCAAAACGGCAACCTTCGGGCTCAGGGCCCGGGGGGCGAGGCCTAGTGCGCCCATTGTGGTAGAGGCGGGGGGGCATGCCAGGGGTGCCAGGACACTCGACCTGACCGAGGAGAGGGTGAAGGCACTCGTACGCAAGCGCCTTCCACCCTACCAGATAGCTGCCCGTGCAGCGGCAGAGGCACGCCTTGGGGGTGAGGTTACGAGCGCTAGAGGAGTGACGGGGGAGGGCGCTGCGAGGAGCGGGGCTGCAGGGCGCAGGGGGGCCAGGTCGCGTGGCGTGCTGGACGGTCAGGCTAGCCTGTTTGCTGAGTTGGCAGAGATGGAGGCAGAGGAGGGGGTGCGGGCACAGGACGAGGTGGACCAGTATTTAGCAGAGGCGAGGCAGGAGGGTGGGTGCGCCTTAGCGTACTGGCGCGGGAGGGAGCTGCAGCTGCCCGGGCTTAGGGCCATGGCTCGCGATTATTTGGGTATCCCCGCCACGTCTGCAGCGAGTGAGAGAGCCTTCAGTCAGAGCAGGAACATCATCTGGTGGCAGCGACACCGTCTGAGCCCACAGCAGATGCGTGCGGCCATGATGATCAAGACTTGGCAGGAGCACCACCCTAGACAGAGGCTTGATGTTCGTGTTGGCAGGGCCACGATTAAGCAGCTGTGCCTTGAGGCAGAGCAGCTGGGGTTGTGAGAGCCGGTTGCTGGGGGAGGGTTGCTGCGGTGTCTTTTGTTGTTGTAATTGTGGTGGTATTGCGCCGTCATATTTATTAGCGAGCTCCTTGTACGTGCGGTAGCTTGCATTGACAGTTGCAGCTTTGCGGTTTTTATTAGCAGACAAATTTAAAGTTTGCATGTGTTTATCGCACTTGTTGTGACGGACCTAGTGGGGAACCTAATCGCACTATTGTTTCGTGATGTGTCTACTGTTTGGTTACCAGTAAACAATCGCTCATGTCTTAGCAAGTAAAACAATGTATTATAAAAATGTAGTGATAACACGTATAACAGAGGAAATGTACAAGTCATCTTTTTTCCCCCCACCCTCCCCCTAAAGGGGCGGGTCAGCCTGGCCCGACCCAACCCGAGGGCCCGACTGACCCGACTCCTAAAGCCCGGGTCGGGCCAGCTGTTTCAGGAACCTGGCCCGAGCCCGGCCCGACCCGACCCGACCCGAGGGCCCGACTGGCCCGACCAAATCGGGTCGGGTCGAGTCACATGCTCAACTCCAGCTTCGGACAATGCCCAACCTGAACCGACCCACCACTGATGTGCGGAGATAACTAGTGCAACGGGAGCTAGACTACGGGCTAGGCACGGGGCAAGAGTGATCGTAGCGTTCGTTCCTTAGTCGTTTCGAAGTGCTAACACTGCTTGTTAGTTCACGGGGAAAATTGGCAAGAGTTTCACTAGGAAAACCTGACAACAAAAGTTCATAATGATTACATCAACATTGGCAACACTGACTACATCAGACCTAGCAAGGCTGCTGGTCTACTGCCAGCGCAGCACGGTCGACAGCGTGCCAGCACGGTCGACCGCGTGCCAGCACGACTTGGTCGACCGCGCTCCAGCAAAGCAAAGTCGCGGCTTGCCAACGTTGCAATTCCGTGGTGTGCCAACGCTGCAGTAAGTCGGCTGCACAGCGTTGTATCCGCGGGACAACGGTGCACCAGCTTCGCAGGTGCATGCAGCTGGTTGGCGCCCAACTCCCGGTCACATGCCCAGCGCAGACACCCGTGACTGCGCCCACCAGCCACGTCGACCTCGGGATACCACCCCCGAGGTCGTCCTCGCAGACAACATCCCCGGCGACTTTCGCGCACGTCGCCCGGGTATCCTGGTTGACCGGGTATTTCGCGGTTCTCCCGCGGTTTCGCGGCCACCGCGGTCCTCCCGCGATTTCGCGGCCACTGCGGTCCTCCCGCGATTTCGCGGCTCGACGGTCCTCCGCGATTTCGCGGCTCCCACGGTACCCCGTGGTTTCGCGGCTCCACGGTCCTCCGTGGTTTCGCGGCTCCCACGGTCCCCCGTGGTTTCGCGGCTCCCACGGTCGGCTCCGCCCAAGTGAGGACGGGGCCAAACACAACTCCCGTTGACACTCCCCTGCCGCGTTCACGCTTGGGCCCCCCCCCGGCCCACACGGCAGTACTGCTCGGACAATAGCCCGTCGGCGTGCACATAACGCACAGCACGCCGTTCACCGCACCAGCCATGCAAAAGGGCATGGCACCTACTGCTGCACATCGCTGTCACCGTCGCCCACATCGGCCAGGCGCACTTGGCCGATTGCAACGGAGCACCGGTTGAAGGCCGGGTAGTGCAGCGCCTTCGTCAGAAAGTCGGCCGGCTGTTCAGCGGTCGGGATGTACTTCAGCGAAAACTTCCCGCGCTTCACCATGTGCTGCAGCCAGGCCTGTCGCCGCTCCATGTGCTTGAGGTTGCCCGTCAACCCCATGCCCTCGCCGACCGTGATGGCCGACTTGTTGTCCACCCTGAGGACAGTCGGCTTTGCGGCGTCCAGCCGCTGGAACTCCGCGAGAAGGAAGCGAAGGCGACGTCCCTCCTTGCCGGCTTCGACGGCCGCCACGTACTCCGACTCGGTCGACGACAGCGTCGCGCACTTGATGCGCTGGCTCGACCAGGAGACCGCGGCCCCTCTGTAGACGAACACGTAGCCGCCCGTACTCATCCGGTTTTGCTTGTCGCCGGCGTCGTCGGCGTCCACGTAGCCGACCAACTCCAGTGACTTCGGACCACCGCCGAACTCCAGGGCGGTGTCTCGCGTGTTGGCGAGGTAGGCGAGGCAGCGGTCGACCTCGCGCCAGTGCTGGTCGCTCCTCACCGTGAGGCCGCTCCCCAGCTTGCTGCACGCGAATGCGATGTCTGGCCTTGTTGTCGTCGCCGCGAACTGCAGCAAGCCGACCTTCTGCCGGTACTCCTCCTCCTCGCGCTCCTGCGCCTCCTCGTCGTCGAACGTCTGCTCCGCGTAGGCGGCGACGGAGACCGGCGTCTTCGGAGTGCGCCCGGTCTGCTCCTCGTCGATGAAGCGCCTGCGAAGCTTGTCGGCGTAGCCCTGCTGGTGCAGCCACAATTTTCGCTCCGGCCTGTCGCGCACGATCTCCAGGCCGAGATACTTCTGCACCGGCGAAATTTCGCAAAGCTCGAACGCGGCCTCCAGCAGCTCCTTCAGCTCCTTCAGCATTGCGGTGCAGCTGCTCGCGGCGAGAAGGTCGTCGACGTAGACCAGCACCCAGCAGGTCACCTTTTCGTCGCCGACCTTGAAGTACAGAGCCTCGTCAACTTGGCTCTTCTTCCACCCGGCGCCAACCAACACGTCGTTGAGAGCCGTGTACCACAGCAGCGGCGACTGCTTTAGCCCATAGAGGCTCTTCAGCAGCTTGCACACCCGGCCGGTCCTGTCGTTGAAGTAGTTCGGCTGGTACATGTACAGCACGCGGTCGAGCTTGCTCTGCAAAAAGGCGTTCTTCATGTCCAGCTGCATCAGGTTGAAGTCGAGGACGGCGACGATGCTGAGGAAAATCCTCAGCGTGATGTAGCTGCTCACCGGCGCGTACGTCTCGTCGTAGTCAGCGCCATACACCTGCGTGAAGCCTTTCACGACCAGCCTCGCCTTTTCGCGCTCGACAGTGTCGTCGATGCGGTACTTCGTTGTCAGCACCCACCGGTTTTTCATTATGTTCACCCCCGGCGGGCGTTCGACCAGCTCCCAAGTGCCCATGTTGATGAGGCTACGAATCTCCTCCTCCATGGCGGCCTTCACCGCCGGGCCCTTCCAGCTCGCCAACGCCTCCTTCACCGTCATGGTCGAAATGTCCCAACGGTGTTCGGGATCGGCGTGCATGTCGGGGTCGAGCTCCGAAAACTCCTCATCGTCCTCGGCGTCATCGTACGCCAGGTCGTCGTCGTCTACATCGTACACCGTGCTGAAGGCAGCGGGGACGAAGAAGTCGGGTGGCCTCCGAATTCGGCCCGACTTCCGAGGTCCAGGCTGCACCTCCACCACGTCGCTCGATGTGTTTTCATCGAACTGCCCCCCTGTCGTCCGCTCCTCTGAAGCGGGCTCTGCGTTCGACGGCTCCCCTGTCGACGGCTTCTCTGAAACGCGCTTCCCAGTCGACGGCTCCCCTATCGACGGCTTCTCTGAAACGCGCTTCCCGTTCAAAAGCTCCCCTGCCAACTGCTCCGCGGTCGGCTTCGCTGCTGCCTGTTCCCATGTCTGCTGCCTGCTAGCCGCGGGCTCCTTCACGGTCTCCTCCGCGGTCTCCTCCGCGGGCTCCTTCGTGGGTTCCTCCGCGGTGTCCGTCGCGGTTTCCTTCGCGGTCTCCTCCGCGGTGTCCTTCGCGGTTTCCTTCGCGGCCTCCTTCGCGGTCCTCTTCTCCGTGACTGGCTGGGCGTCACGTCGGCCACCGGCGATGCTCTTGGCCGGCGCCACAGGCGACACCCCACGGCTCCCCTCATCGCCGGAGGCCGACACCGGAGTCAGGCCACGCAGTTTGACGGGAAGGGAAGGGGAAGAAGGGGAAGGAGATGGCGAGGCAGGGGCGACCGCGACATCCTCATCAGCGCGCTCTCCAACCTCGGCGAGCAGAGGAAGCGTCGCCGTCGAGGTGTCCGTCGGAGGGTTGGCCCGCGTCCGCCCCGACGCAGGCCCGAGGTCCGACTTCCACACCTCCAGCGATAGAGTTTCGTAGAACACCACGTCCGACGTTGTGACCACCCGGTCGGCGGTGATGTCGAGGAGCTCCCAGCCTTTGCTTTCCTCCGACACGCCGAGGTGAAGGCCCCACCGAGCCTTCGGCTTCAGCTTCCCACCGCGCTGCTGCTCAGGGACGAGGAATTGCGCCATGCAGCCCCACACCCACGCCATCGACAGGTCGGGCTTCTGCCCGGTGAGAAGCTGGTACGGCGTCGTCCCCGCGGGCAGCGAAGACCGCTCCAGGCAGTTGCGAACCCAGACGGCCTGCCGCAGAGCGAGATGCCACCAGTGGTGCTGCACGCCCATGTGCAGCAGCATCGTCCGCACCGACTCCACCACCGTCCTCATCTCCCGCTCCGCCATGCCGTTCTGTTGCGGGGTGTAAGGGCAGGTCAAGTCGTGGGCGATTCCCTTGCTGTCCACGAAGGTGGTGAAGTCCTTCCCGAGGAACTCCCCTCTGAGGTCAGAACGCAGTTGCAGCACCGAATGCTTCGACTGCCGCTCCACCAGCACCAGCCACTTCTGGAACTCCAGCAACACGTCCGACTTCTTGGCGACCGGCCTCACCCACACAAAGCGGGTCTTGCGGTCCTTCAGCAGCAAGAAGTATAGGCTGCCGTCCTTGGCAGCCACGCAAAATGGCCCGCACAAATCGATGTGCACGACGGCCAGGACGTCGTCGGCGTCGGAGCCGTGGTCGGGGAAGGTGTGTCGCGCCAGCTTCCCGCCGACGCACGAAACACACGGTGAGTCAGCGCCAGACGCCGACTGGAGGTCTAGCCCAGTGGCGACCTCGTGCTTCGCCGAGCTCCGTATGGTGTCCATGCCCACATGCGCCAGCCTCGCGTGCAGCCTGTCCGGGGTTGCCTTCGTCGCCGAGACGATCGCCCGCAAAGCTACCTCCTCTTTCGCGGGTGTCGTCGACTTTACCGCGCATGGACGCAGGTCAGTGCAGAGGACCCGGCCGGTATACGTCGCGCGACCGAGCACGTCCCGCGCCGCGGAGACGAGCAACATCCGGTCTCCGTCGTCCTTCAGCGTTACCCCGCTCTCCTTCAGCTGGCCAGCCGAAAGCAAATTCGCGTGCACGCCCGGGACGTAGAGGACGTCGGAGATGAGCACCCGCTTTCCGGCCTCCCCTTGTAGCGCAATCGTGCCACGGCCGCGAACGTCCTGCAGCGCCCCATTGAAGCCACGCACGTGTTTCACGTCGCCACGCGGCCCCAAGTCGACGAAGGCCTCCTTCGTCCCCATCAGGTGATGCGAGCAGCCACTGTCGAGCAGGACCACCGCGGGGTTCGCCCGCACAGCTGCCGCCACCGCCTGGAAATCCTCGCCAGCCTCCGGCGCCAGCGAGACGGTCGGCTCCACGATACCGACCAGCGAGCACGACGCCTCCTTGTCGCCTCGCCCTTTGCCACCCGCGGAAGAGTCGGCGTCCTTCGCCGAGGTCGACTTCGTCGACTGCTTCTCCTTTCGCGGCTGGTTTCCTTGACGCGGACGACGGCTGCCAGAGCTCCCGCGGCCTCCCTTGGTTTCGTCGTCGTCCGAGTCACTGCGGTCGGGACACTCGAAGGAGAGGTGATCGGGATCGCCGCACAGCCAGCATTCCCGACGTCGACCTCCTCCTCCACGACCGCCAGCCTTGACAGACTTCTGCTTGTCAGCGTCCTTCGCCGGCTTCCCGCCACCGCGGTGACTGCCACCAGGCTGCCCGCGCTGTCCCGGGCGACCACCTTGCTTCGCGGGGGCGACGAAATTTACTTGCGCGAGGAGCTCCTGGGACCGCTCAGCCTCCTGCATTGCCTCGTCCTGCAGGATGTACGAGGTCAATGTGTCCTCGTTGAGCATCTCTCGCGTGCTCGGCGCCATCGACAGCCGCTTCAGCAGATTGTAGCTGCTCGGGAGTCCTTGCATGACGTGCGTGACGTACAAAGCCGCCGAGTATTCCGCGCCAGCCATCCGAATGGTGGCGAGAATTCGCCGAGCTCGGTTGCAGTAGTCAGTCGCGGTCTCCTCGTCGACGGTGACCTGGTAAGTTGACTCGATGAAATGCCACGCCCGATGGCCAGCGTCGAGGTACTCCCTGCACGACTTCAGGGCGATTTGTACGCCCGGCGAGCAGCACCACGAAATGACCGTAAAGGTCAGCAACTGCACGGCGCGAAATTCCGCTCGCAGGTCGGGGTAGTGCTCCTCCGATGGCCACAACTCCGTGGGCGAAGCCCATCAGCCCGGCCATCTCCAGCTGGGGCTCGATGGCTTCCTTCTACGTTAGGATGTCAGGACGACCGACCAGCGGAGGTGAGACCAAGATCCTGTCCGGCGTAAACTTGAAGTAGCCGTAGCTCGGCGCAATTCCTCCCGCGGTCACATGTGTCGCCGACATCGGCGCCAATTCACTTCGTATGCCTCCGACGTAGTTTCGCGGGGCCCCTGCAGCTGCCGATGACTGCATCCCTCGCGCCTGAACGCCGCCGACTTTATCGGCGCGAATCACACCTCGCTGCCTCGATATGCCTCCCGCGCTGCTACCGACTTGGTCACCACCCGCGTTGACATCCGCGTCAACGCCACCCGCGTTGTTCACCGGTCGAGGAGACGCAGGCCGAGAGGGAGGGTGCTCCGTTGCCCACAGTGCGCGGATGCCAGCCTCGACGACCGTCCAGGGGATGTCGCCATACTCGTTGGCCTCGTGCTTTCTCCTCGCGTTCTCCAGCCGTGCCTCCAGGGTGTCCACCACCCCTGCGTCACCTACAACTCCTACCATAGTAACTACCGCACAGCTGCCGATCTACGAACAAGCTAGGTGAGTGAGAAGTCAGCTAAACCGAAGGTTTCTTCGCGGTGTCGTCCACGCTCACCGCACCATGCGGAGATAACTAGTGCAACGGGAGCTAGACTACGGGCTAGGCACAGGGCAAGAGTGATCGTAGCGTTCGTTCCTTAGTCGTTTCGAAGTGCTAACACTGCTTGTTAGTTCACGGGGAAAATTGGCAAGAGTTTCACTAGGAAAACCTGACAACAAAAGTTCATAATGATTGCATCAACATTGGCAACACTGACTACATCAGACCTAGCAAGGCTGCTGGTCTACTGCCAGCGCAGCACGGTCGACCGCGTGCCAGCACGACTTGGTCGACCGCGCTCCAGCAAAGCAAAGTCGCGGCTTGCCAACGTTGCAATTCCGCGGTGTGCCAACGCTGCAGTAAGTCGGCTGCACAGCGTTGTATCCGCGGGACAACGGTGCACCAGCTTCGCAGGTGCGTGCAGCTGGTTGGCGCCCAACTCCCGGTCACATGCCCAGCGCAGACACTTCACCCGTGACTGCGCCCACCAGCCACGTCGACCTCGTGATACCACCCCCGAGGTCGTCCTCGCAGACAACATCCCCGGCGACTTTCGCGCACGTCGCCCGGGTATCCTGGTTGACCGGGTATTTCGCGGTTCTCCCGCGGTTTCGCGGCCACCGCGGTCCTCCCGCGATTTCGCGGCCACCGCGGTCCTCCCGCGATTTCGCGGCCACCGCGGTCCTCCCGCGATTTCGCGGCTCGACGGTCCTCCGCGATTTCGCGGCTCCCACGGTACCCCGTGGTTTCGCGGCTCCACGGTCCTCCGTGGTTTCGCGGCTCCCATGGTCCTCCGTGGTTTCGCGGCTCCCACGGTCGGCTCCGCCCATGCGAGGACGGGGCCAAACACAACTCCCATTGACATGATGCACATGGATGAATCCGCGAAGGCCGTTTTTTGCCAAAAGAACAGCGCCATGCCTCCAGGTGTTTAGGTCGGATGCATGCCCAAATGGGTTTGATATATTTTGCCCGCCGGCAGCGAGCTCCCCCGGGCGGACTCGCTTGTCCGCTGAGCACAACGACCCCAGGGTATCCCGCCCGGGGGTAGCTGTGGGTAACCTGGGGGGAGCTTTTTGGGCGAAACATTTTTGGGATGCTGGGCTGATGCGCCTGCAGAACAAGGCTCTAGTGAATCCTAAGCGTGAGATTTGTTCGTGAAAAAGCTATTTTCGTGGAGTAGCACCTTCATCAGTCGAACAGTTAATACTGTAAAACCTTCATCAATCGACGGTACTAGTGGTTTCACGATTTTTTTGTGACATTCGCGAAGCAGCACATGGCGGAACAGAAGCCCTGCCGCGGACCCGGAGGTGCTCCGGCGCGAGCCCCAGCGTGCTGCCGCCGCCGCCCTCGACGTCGCTTTTCGTTTGCGGTGCCACCAGCGCCGCGCCTGCCCCTTGTGCTACTTGCACTGCTCCTTCCGTCCGTGCTCTTGCCGCGCGACCAACTGCAGTGCGCAACGGCACAGGTAGTACGCGCGCGCGTCGTCACGACGGTTAGATCGCCTGTGCGTCTTTGCGACTGTTGAGGCGCAAGTGATCACATCGTGTACATTCTCTGTTGCCTCGCCTTCTGCCGCCAGCTTGTCTCTCCTCCTCTCTCCCCCTTCCTTCCCTTTCCCGATCGCATCTTCTCTGTTCCCTCGCATGACGCGGCAGTTTCCTGGCGGCTACGTCGATCCGCGGTTCGTTTCGTGCATGCTGAGAGCACAGAATTGCCTCGTCAATAGCGCGGCGTACACCTGCTACACCTACAACACCTCCTCCGTGTACAACTGCTCCTGCGCCTACATCTCCTCTCACTGCACCAAATGGAATGGTGCGATCCCTGACTGTATAAGGCATACTGAGTTGGCACTGAAGTTCCTGTCCCCCCCGCTCCATCCCTCCCTCCCTCCCTCCCTCCCTCCCTCCCTCCCTCCCTCCCTCCCTCCCTCCCTCCCTCCCTCCCTCCCTCCCTCCCTCCCTCGCTCCCTCGCTCCCTCCCTCCCTCCCTCCCTCCCTCCCTCCCTCCCTCCCTCCCTCCCTCCCTCCCTCCCTCCCTCCCTCCCTCCCTCCCTCCTTCCCTCCCTCCCTCCCTCCCTCCCTCGCTCCCTCGCTCCCTCCCTCCCTCCCTCCCTCCCTCCCTCCCCCCCTCCCTCCCTCCCTCCCTCCCTCCCTCCCTCCCTCCCTCCCTCCCTCCCTCCCTCCCTCCCTTTCTCCCTCCCTCCCTCCCTCCCTCCCTCCCTCCCTCCCTCCCTCTCTCCACCCTCCCTCGCACTCACTCCACCACTTCGTTCTCCACCCACCCTCCTCCCCCCCACGTATGAAGCAGGGCCGGCGATCCAGTGCACGGACCCTACTAGTAATTCCAGCCCTTGTCTGCCGGGCCTCTGCCTCATCAACAGCACGTCCTTCCTGGGCTGCGACTGCCCCAAAGGCTTCTTCCAAACCGCCACTGCTGACTTCTGGCCCTATTGCGCTCCCCGTAAACACTCACCCCCGCCCTCCATTCGATCATGCCTGATTAGAGTCGAGGGTTGCGCGTCGCTCACACCTCCACGCGTGCAGTGCAAGCAGCACATAGAGAGAGTGCGGTTGATGCATGCTTAGGGTTTGCTCTCACACCACCTACGCTGCCGGCTTGCCAGAGCGGCCAAGCCAGAGTCAGCCCTGCGAGGTGTGATGAGCGTAATAGCTGCCGGTATTCTCAAGGGGAAGTTAATGTGCTGATTTGTTGATGATGGTGAGGCCCTGCTCATCGTAACGCTATGTTTGCATGCTCCTGGTGACGCTGCTGCTGCAAAAGCGTGCACGCTGGGTGAAGTGTGTGGCTGTGGTGTATGCCGTGGTGACACAAAGGCATAAGGCGGAAGCAAGAACCATAAGGTTCCACCGCTGGAAAGGCGTACATGAGCGACTGCGTGTGCATGTCTCTTCCCTTCCCTTACATGAGAAGCGCCATGAATCTTGAAGCCCGTGTGCTTCTTCTCTTGCCCGTGTGTCATTGCCTCTTCCTCGGGTTTCCATTGTGCAGGTGTTTCGTCACCACCACCCACCCCGTCCCCCCCACCATCACGACCACCACCACTGTCACCGTCGCCACCAGCACAACCACCAGCACCACCATCAGCACCACCATCAGCACCACCATCAGCACCACCATCAGCACCATCACGACGACCACCACTGTCACCGTCGCCACCAGCACCGCCATCAGCACCACCATCAGCACCACCATCAGCACCGCCATCAGCACCACCATCAGCACCATCATCAGCACCATCAGCACCAGCATCAGCACCATCAGCACCACCAGCATCAGCACCAGCATCAGCACCAGCATCAGCACCATCAGCACCAGCATCAGCACCAGCATCAGCACCAGCATCAGCACCAGCATCAGCACCATCAGCACCAGCATCAGCACCAGCATCAGCACCATCAGCACCAGCATCAGCACCAGCATCAGCACCATCAGCACCAGCATCAGCACCAGCATCAGCACCAGCATCAGCACCATCAGCACCAGCATCAGCACCAGCATCAGCACCATCAGCACCAGCATCAGCACCAGCATCAGCACCATCAGCACCAGCATCAGCACCAGCATCAGCACCATCAGCACCAGCATCAACACCATCAGCACCAGCATCAGCACCAGCATCAGCACCACCAAGTTTAAAGTCAGGCACACGAGGCACCTCCTCTCAGCCAACCCCGGAAGGCCAGCCACCCTCTGCAGGCGAGTGACTCACGCCTGCTGCAACACCACCATTCCAATGCTTCCATGCCGGTGCACCACGTGCCCATCATTCGTGGACTCTCAACCATGCAATGTGCTGCCACTGCCTCGTGCACGCTATAACATTCCCTTTCGCTTGACTCCGTCCCATTTCTTTGGCCCCTGCGTGCTCTTCACTCTTCACAGATTCATCGCCAGGGATGTCACCAGGGATCATAGCAGCAATTGCGGTCGGCATTGTTTGTCTTGTTCTGCTAGTTTTCCTGGTCGGTTTCTTTGTGTGGCGACGCCAGCAGCGCAAGGAGCATCATCATCACGAGACTGCAGCGGTGCAAAAGGCGTTGAAGGCAGGCAGACGGGACGATGATGAGGAGGAGCGTCCACCAGGTATAACGACAGAGAAGCTTCTGATATGCTTCGTTGACGAGTCTGAAGCCTATTCTCTTGCTGAATTTCTACCTTGCATTTCTGCTTCCCTCAAAACATCCTCCCAACACCTCTGCTTGCATTTCGACATCTTTGTAGCCTCTCTTTCCCCATGGCTCCCGTTCTCCCCGGTCCCCCCTCCTCCCCGCCTCCCCGGAGCACCAGCCCCAGCAGCAGCACGTGGGCCGGTGGTGTGTCGGGAGCTGCCGTACTGGGAGGTGGTGGAGGCAACGAACGAGTAGTCGGCAGGCAACCTGATCGGGCGAGGGGGCTACGGTGACGTGTACCGGGGAGTGGCACCGTCGGATGGCACCGTGTGGGCTGTGAAGCGCGCTCGCGTCATCACCAAGGACTTTCGCCGAGAGGTGCGAGCGTAGAGAGTGCAAGCGCTGGGGGTTCAATCATGGTGCAATGGCGCTGCTGTGATGAATGCGTTTGTGTGTGTGCATGTGTGCGTGTGGGCATGTGTGTGTGTGCATGCATACAGTACATAGTGCAAGCGCTGGGAGTGTCTGCGTGAGCGCATGTGTGTGTGAGTGCATTTGTGTGTGAGTGCATGTATGTGTGAGTGCATTTGTGTGTGAGTGCATGTGTGTGTGCGAGCATGTGTGTGTGCGAGCATGTGTGTGTGGGTGCATGTGTGCGTCCATGCATGTGTGTGTGCGTGCGTTCATGCGTGCGTGCGTGTGTGCGTGTGTGCATGTGTGCATGTGCGTGCATGTGTTGTGTCTGTGCGTGCATGTGTGTGTGAGTGCAAGTGTGTGTGCGAGCATGTGTGTGTGGGTGCATGTGTGCGTGCGAGCATGTGTGCGTGTGTGCGTGCATGTGTGTGTGTGTGCATGTGTGCGTGCATGTGTGTGTGTGCATTCATGTGTGCGTGTGTGCATATGTACGTGCGTGCATGTGTGTGTGCGGGCATGCGTGCATGTGTGCATGCGTGCATGCATGCATGCATGTGTGCGTGTGCGTGCATGTGTGTGTGCATGCATGTGTGTGTGTGTGCGCGCATGTGTGTGTGCGGGCATGTGTGCGTGTGGGCAATTGTGCGTGCGTGCATGTGTGTGCGCGCATGTGTGCGTGCAGCGTGCGTGCATGTGTGTGTGCATGCATGTGTGTGCGCGCATGTGTGCGTGCGTGCATGTGTGTGCGTGCATGTGTGTGTGCGTGCATGTGTGTGTGTGCATGTGTGTGTGCGCGCATGTGTGCGTGCGTGCATGTGTGTGCGTGCATGTGTGTGTGTGTGCATGTGTGTGTGCGTGCATGTGTGTGCGTGCATGTGTGTGTGCGTGCATGTCTGTGTGCGTGCATGTGAGTGTGTGCAAGCATGGTGCAAGGGCGCTGCTTCGCTGATAGCCGCCTCAGGTGCCGTGCCTGCCTCCCTGGCAGGATGAGTGCCACTAAAGATGTGTGCTTATGCTTACGGGAGGAATCCGATGAGAGATGGCAGTTGTGAGAAGGTGAAGAGGAAACATATGCGAGTTGTGCGGTGGGAGCGTGTCGTAGATACCATGCTGCTGGATAATGTGTGCGAGCATGTGTGCACCATTGTCATTCATGCCACAACATAACCACCAGGTACTTGCAATCTTGAATTTCAATTAAAAGAATTGGAAGGCGTGTGACACGAAGAAAATCATGTATTTTTTCCCGGCAATGATTAGATTGCTCTCAGCGCACCGCACTCAAGTCACCACACACGTGGGTACAAAGGTTGGTGTATTCCGTTTCCGTCGATCTAGCGGTGTAACCACTACAAGTTCATTGCATTGACAACTACCATCACCTGGCATGGTGCATGATATGGCATGGTGCATGACGTGGCATGGTGCATGACGTGGCATGGTGCATGACGTGGCATGGTGCATGACGTGGCATGGTGCATGACGTGGCATGGGCAGGTGGAGCAGATGGCATCGAAGCACCACCCGCACCTGGTGCGGCTGCTGGGGTACTGTGTGCACATGGATGCGCGCACGGAGCAGCACGAGCAGATCGTCGTCTACGAGTTCATGCCCGGCGGTGACCTGCAATCCTGCATGCCCGCCCACCCCGTCGACGCGCCTGAGAAAGGTGGGGAGTGTGGAAGGGTTAGGAGTGCGGGAAGGGTGGGAAGAGTGAGGGGGATGGGGCATTGGAAAGAGATGGCCTACTGTGCTGTCCGACATGGGTGCATGTGTGAAGGTCAATTCAAAGTGGGTGACGGTGAAAGCAAGGATGAACGTGCAATTGCAGGTGCATATGTGAATAAGCCATTCCACAATCTCCATAGCCCATTCCGATTGTGCCTCTCCCTTCCCCTTCGCCCATCACTCACATACTCCCAGGCGCCACACGGGCGCCTCTGTCACTGCAGCAGCGCGTGCAGGTGCTGTTGGGAGTGGCGCGTGGGCTGCAGTACCTGCACAGCTTTGGCATCGTGCACCGCGACATCAAACCCGCCAACATCCTGCTCGATGCCCACATGACGGTCAGCACACACACTCATGCCTATATAATGGTCAGCACACACACGTGCCAAATGCACCCATGCACGCCACGCATACATGCGCGAACACAAAGACAAATCACCCAGGCAATGTTGGATCGTGTTTTGGTCTATCCGTGCTGATTATCTCATGTCCATTCGTTAATCTTCTGTACAAGTGATTCCTTTTGTAGGGTAAGTAGCCTTCCATCTGCCTCGCCTTCCCCTTTGTTCCTCACTGCATTCTTCCACCATGCTCGTGCCCTCCATGCATGGCAACAGGGCAGGCCAAGGTGGCGGACTTTGGGCTGGTGAGGATGGGAGATGAGAGCACGGGAGACACGACGCGCATTCTCGGCACACCGGGCTTTGTGGACCCCGCATACTCCAAGTCGCGCAAAGCTGCCCCCACCAACGACGTGTACAGGTGGGCCGCGCCTGCTGCCACCGTGCCTCGTGGAACGCTAATGGCCGGCGGTACGGTGGCTGGTGGTGTGCTGTGCTGGTACCAGTGAGTGCGAATCTCGTAGACTCCTATATTCAAGTGCCATTTAAGTGGTGCTTAGGTGGTGCTGGCACTTTGGGTCTTTCTGGTGGATGGATCTCAAATCCATGGTGCGCGCTGTCCACTGGGTCTTTCTGCCGTGTCCACCACGATGTTCTGCTTGATGATGTGTTTTCTGCTTTGTGCCTTTCCATGCTGCTATGTCAGGGCTGAAACATACACCTCACCAGCCTATGCAACCCATGCTGCACCTTCCACTCTCTTTGTAGCACCGCATCTTATGTCATTGGCGAGTGTTGTGCATCCACTGGCATGTTGACATGTATGCATGCTGTGTGTGGCATTGGTGGGAATGGGGTGTGCATACTGTGTGGCATGAGCAGCTATGGCATAGTCATGTTGGAACTCTTCACATCCCAGAGGGCAATCCTGCAGGAGGGAGACCACAACATCAACGCCAGGCAATGGGTAATCTGTGCACTTTGCACTAGCCTTGGGAGAGTCAATCCGAGTCTTTTTCCACCCAGTACGCCAACCTTGTTGTTGTTGTTTTTTTTGTTTTTTTTTTTTTTTTGTGTTCCCTGCCCCTTAGTAATAGCCCATAAGACGACATTATTTCAACTGGTTGTTGCTTTTTTTGTTGCATGCCCTTGCAGGCGGAGCCGCTGCTGGCAGCATTGGATGCCGAAACCCTCAAAGACCCATGCCTTGATGCTCCGCCTGAGGTCATTCTTCAACTGACCCAGCTGGCCCTGCAGTGCACAAGCATGCCTGTATCAAGCCGCCCCCACATGGACAAGATTGTATTCAGACTGTCTGACTTGTATACGAGGCTTTTTGGGTCTGGCGTGGGTGGAAATCTGGAGTCTGTTGACTCGATTCTTCAGCGTGTTGAACATCCGGATTACTCGTTCGATGAGGCGATTGCAATGGCTGATGCTGCAGGAACGCAAGGATCTTCTGTCTAGTACAGCAATATGTCTTCCAGACATAAGACTACGTGTTCTAGTACACTAGTCTAGTAAAGTGTATGTAGAAGTATGGCATCTCTTCGCTAGCGAACCCCCCGTAGAGTGGAGTTCCCCCCTGTTGGAAACAATTAATTAACGCTCCTGTTGTGTCGAAACATGGAACTACAAACGAGGCGAATTACAGCGAAGCAATGGTGAGTGAACCGAGGAGGTTGACAGAAAGTAACAGCTGGAGGTTACGCGAAGGTCAAAGTTCACCAACCTTTGACTTGACGAAAGGCAGCGCGACAGCAAGAACAAACTACTGACTCGGTATTGAGCAGTTGCCCGAGTCGTCGCTGTATCGAACCGCAACAGCAACAGTAAAACAGTTGGTTGCATCTTTTCATATTCCTTGTAATCATATAAAAGCTTGTATTACTTTGCTATAATCCATGTCTTGCTCTCACACACTAGTGCAGGTTGGTTCAACAGTTCGCTAAGAGCGCTTCCGCAATACAACATTCCTACTCAGGGTCTTAGCCTTGAAAAGATCCCAAGGGCTTTTTTCAGCCCAACATGGTATGAGAGCTACAAGGCAAGATCCAACTTCATTCAATTCTCCTACAACAACAGAAGGCATGGCAACACAGAAGGAGAGAGGCTCCTCTAACGGATCTCCCGGCACCACTCCTTCTCCACCTCCAGCCTCTGGCCTACAGACAGAGGGAGGTATAGTAACAAGACCAGCTGCTGAATTGAATGAAACTCCTGCGAACCAGGCAACCGGCATCGACCCAAGCATGATGGAGAAGTTCTTCTCCTTCATGTCGTTCTACGAGCAACACCAGCAAACGGCACCTGCGCAATCAACAATGGCGTTACACCCATGAGTCTTGACAGCTCACCCTATGCGCGCGGAAATCAGCAGCAACCTACCTTTGCTCCATACGAGCCTCAACGCGGCTCCATCAGCTTCATGCCACATCAGCCTCCACGTGGACAAGAGAAGACACTGGACGCGCTTCAAGTACAGTCGCAGTTTGCACACGTTCTGAAACTGCAGGCATCAACACCGTTCGACGGCAAAGATTTTTATACCTGGTCATTCGAGTTCGATCTGATGATGGAGGGCGCGCAAATCCTTGGATTCTTCGACGGCTCCCTGCCATACCCAACGCATGGAGCACAGTACGACAAGCAGCAGTCTACATATCAGTCGCTGATGGCATACACAATCCTGCTACGAAACATAATGCCGAACAAGCAGCAGAACATCCGGTCTTATCATGGATATGGCAACTCCGCCGAGCTCGCGTACAACCACCTGAAGAACCTGTATCAGGAAACAGACAGAGAGTCGTCTCGTGGCACAACTGACAACAGTGGAAATGAAACCAGGCGAAAAGGGAATGGCATATATCAGCCTTTGCCACGGACTACGCAATAGACTCATTCGATGCGGTGGATCGATATCTGAAGAAGCCTTCGTTACAGTTGTCATCACTAGCCTCGGTCCTCATTGGCGCTCCACTCGAGATCCTTCGAGCCCACGGAAAGATCTCCGAAGCAGCCCTCTGCACAAAGATACATGCTGAGCAGCAGGACATGGACCTATACGAAGAACGACACAAGAAAAGAGCGTCAGCACCTGAGTTCGCGTTCCACACTCAACGGCGTTACAACAACAACAACAATCGACAGAACAAACATCAAGCTCAACAGTACGTACCTCCGTTCTGCCATCTCTGCAAGACGCCAGGACACCCTCAAACTCACTGCTCGAATCAGCAGCAGTCAACCCCGCCGCAACGTCAACTTCGGCCTTCAAGCAGTCAAGTGGCTTCTACATAGGCGCATCCCATCAATCAAGTACAGTCCTCAACATCATCGACGACAAAACCTGCACAAGGCACAAGAAACATCGTGAGCTGCATGGCAAGAACGACAGACTTTTGCATCACCAGGTCGCCACCGTACTACTCACCAGAAGAACAACTCGACGAAAGCACCCCTCGCCGTGAATCATTGGAGCCGAATCTGACGTATGCAGTAATTGCCCAAAGCGAGCCATCCGGAAAGGATACTTGGTTCCTAGTCAGCTGCTGCGAACAACACATGTGCTCTTCAGGCCGCTTCGTACAACGAGAGTAGCATCTTCATCGCGAAGTCGTGATCACAGTCGCCAACAACCAGAACCTGCGCACACGACGGCAAGGAGTAGTTCAACTTCAGTCTCGAGAAACCAACGTCATTTTGCAAATGTCAAAGGTTTTAATCGCCGAAGGACTCGGCTACAACTTACTCAGCGTCAGTCAACTGATGGCGAAGGGAATCCATCTCGAAGCTGACAACACCACACAGGAGTTCAAGCAATACAACGGAAGGGGTGGACTTTACATCGGGAAGGCAGTGCTGAAGAACAACGTTTTTGTCCTCGACTTCGTTCCAGATCAAGGCACCGCCGACATCGACGGAATCGTCAACTTCACCTCTTGGACACACCCGCCAGATCTCGACCCCGACTTCAGTCCAGTAGGCTTCTGGTACTCACACACTATACCTGAAGCAGAACGAACGAGAGCGTTAGCAACAATTCGACAAACAACAACAGAAGCAGAGACAACATCGACAACAACAAAGACAACATCGGCAGCAGCAGAGACAAAATCGGCAGCAGCAGAGACAACATCGGCAGCAGCAGAGACAACATCGGCAGCAGCAGAGACAATACCGGCAGCAGCAGAGACAACACCGGCAGCAACAGAGGCAACACCGACTACGACACCAATCACGGGTCCTTCAATGGCACCAATTTTCATCGACGGTACTCCACCGACTCCTACGCAGCAGCTGACTCCCACTCCACGCGAAGTCCACAGAAGCGCCAACCTCACCGCCAGCTTCTACTCCAACTTCGACATATACAGGCGATCACCCGGACATCGCACCAGTGAATCAATCTGGCACGCAAGAATGGGACACCCGAGCAACACAACGTTAAACAACACGATAAGGGCAGGATTACTTGTCAAAGACTCACTACTTTTAACCGACGGCAGAGAGGTTCAACGAGTCCGTGGTACATGCTTCACCTGCCCCGAAGCCGACTTACCTCATCAGCCGTTCGTCTCTCATCACAACCCGAGCGCTCCTGCATATGCACCACTTGAGAAGGTTTACAGTGACATATAGTTCAACCGTGAAAGCGGACAACTACGAGGAGCCTACAACTACGTCATCACGTTCATCGATGCCGCCACCCGATACGCACGAGGAGATCTGGCTGCAACACCCACCTGGCTTCACTAGGTCGTTCCCTCCTGGTACCCAGTGGAGCCTCCGCCGGCCAGTCTACAGTCTCCGTCAGGCGCCTCATGAGTGGCACGACACACTGAGGACGACACTTGCGGCTCTTGGGTTTGCACCTTCCACTGCTGACCCGTCGCTGTTTCTGCGCACCGACACTTCATTGCCGCCGTTCTACAACCTCGTGTACGTTGACAACTTGGTCTTTGCCACTGCTGACACTGAGACACACGTGAACAGACCTGGTTGGGCTGCGCAGCTACCTTGGCTTGCAGATCACCCGGGACAGAGCACGGCGCACCATCACACTGACTCAGTCACACATGGTGCAGCAGGTCCTTCAGCACTTCTGCTTCACTTGGTCCTCGCCACAGTCCACTCCCCTGGCTACAGGCCACTCGCTCTCAGCTCCACCTTCGGACGAGTATGTAGAGCCGAGTGATCCGTACCCAGAGCTAGTGGGCTGCCTCATGTACCTGATGACCTGCACTCGTCCTGACCTTGCGTACCCTCTTGGCCTTCTGGCACGCTACGTGGCTCCTGGTAGGCACCGAAAGGTGCACTGGGATGCTGCGAAGAGGGTGTTGCACTACTTGTGCATTACATCGGGCATGGGGCTCGTGCTTGGAGGGCGGAGCTCAGTTGTCCTCACTGGGCGCTCAGACGCTTCTTGGGTTGACGACCTGGCTACGCAGCGGTCGTCACAGGGTTACACCTTCAGCCTTGGCTCTGGCTCTGTTTCTTGGCGGTCTACACGCTCGTCTTCTGTTCTCAGCTCCAGTTGTGAGGCTGAGATCTACGCCACAGCCATGGCTGCACAGGAGCTACGCTGGCTCACCTACCTGCTGACCTACTTGGGAGAGAGGCCTCGTTCTCCTCCAGTTCTGTACGTCGACAACAAGGCCATGCTGGCCTTGTGTCAAGAGCACAGACTGGAGCACAGAACGAAGCATA